TGTAGGGAAGCAGTAATCTAGCAATAAAAAGAAGATGCTAAGAGTCTGGAAGGACACCAAGGGCTGTTTCAGGAATTTATTATATGGAATTGGTGCAACTAGCTGCAACAGGCTTGGAAAAATAGGTGGAGATGGCAGCATAATACTAGATGTCCTTATTGCCTTTGCCTTTCACAAATGTTATCTCTGCAATTAATTGCAGAGTAAAAGTGGCCTCTGGATTAGTTAAAACATTCATAGAGTGTGGATTGGTGGAATGTATTTTATTTCGAGGGACTGTTTTCATTGTTTCAAATTTATTTTATATTCTTGCTGAAGGCCATATGATGAATAAGATTGGTGTATGTGTGTTTTTATTCTCTTTTCTGTGCTGACCTGTTTGACAATGTTGGTGCTTTTCTAGGCCGCAGTTTCAGCATCCTTCTTGACAATTCACTCACCTACCCTGTTGACTGGGCTAAAGCGTTTATTTCATAACCCGTTTATTTCATTTCAGAGGTCACACAGAGAGGTCGTTTGAGGTGGAGTAGGATTTCAAATCTTTTTTCTCTCTCAATTCTTTGCAGTGTTTTCCTATTTAATCTTATCAAACAATTGGAAGCTGATGATTTTATATCCAGCATTCTAGATAATGACTAGCTTGACTGCTTTGTGGATACTCTCAGTCTTTGGGAGGAACTCTAGCCTTGGCGAGCCATGAAACTCTAAATCACTGCTCTGAGCAGAAATACTGCATTTATGACACATTGCTGATATTTTTGCCCATTTCAAAAAATAGCTTCGAGGGATAATTAAATTTATATGCACTTTTTGAAGAACCTGATTACATACTTATATTTCCAAATCATCGTTATTTTCACATTAGATCTTTGCCATAAAGAACTATTTAATGAAATTGGTCCAAGGGATTTTGATGATGATTATTTTTATGTAGATATCTCTCGGATAACTTGGCATTTTTGTAACTCACGACACAGTTTAGAGAATAATGTTCTTCAAAGTTCAAATTCTTTGGTTGTTTCAAATCGCTGATATAAGGATATTTTGAAAAAAGTATGTTGCTGTGTACTACTAATGAATTTTTGTGGTAAGAGCATTTTTTTGTGGTAGAATTTGACTGGAATTTTAAATAATCATAATTGTACATGGTTAAAGCACCTGCACTTATATTATGTCACTTGCGCCTTTCACAACCCTCATATTAGTAAACAAGCCCTTTTTATTTTGAAGAACCAATGATGCCTAAGGACACAGGCAGCATCCAAGTGTTCCATGTAATTAAAGTATAATTCTGACATGAATATTCTTTTTGACATGAATATTTAAAAATTAACATGATAACTCCTGGACTTCCCTGGTGACGCAGTGGTTAAGAATCTGCCAATGTAGGAGACACGGGTTGGAGCCCTGGTCTGGAAGATCCCACATGACGCAGGGCGAATAAGCCCATGTGCCACAACTACTGAAACTCGCATGCCACAACTACTGAAGCCCACACGCCTAGAGCCCATGCTCTGCAACAAGAGAAGCCACCTCAATGAGAAGCCCGTGCACAGCAACGAAGAGTAGCTCCCGCTCACCACAGCTAGAGAAAGCCCTCGTGCAGCAACGAAGACCCAACGTAACCAAAAATAAATAAATAAATTAATTAATTAAAAAAAGAAACATGATAACTCCTTAGACTTTTAGAAAGTTTAAGTTTTACAAAGGGGCTTTTACATATCTCATTTCAGTTCACAATTACCCTGGTAAATGATATAGATTTTTCCAGCTTTTTTGAGATATAATTGGCATATGTCATTGTGTGAGTTTAAGATGTACAGTGTGATGATTTGTTATGTGTATGTATTGCAAAATGACTACCACAATATGGTTAGTTAACACATTCATCACTTCACATAGTTACCGTGTGTGTGTGTGTGTGTAAGAACTTCTAAGATTTACTCTATTAGAAACTTTAAGTATATTGTACAGTATTGTTAACTATAGTCACCATTCTGTAGATTAGATACTCAGATCTTATTCACCTTATGAATGAAAGTTTGTACCCTTTAACTGTTTCTATGAGTTCAGTATTTTTTTAGATTCCACATATAAGTAAGATCATACAGCACTGGTCTTCCTCTCTCTGACTTATTTCTCTTAACCTAATGCCCTCATGGTTCATCCATGTTGTCACAAGTGGCAGGATTTCCTTTTTATAGAAGAATAATATTCCATTCTGTGTGTGTGTGTGTGTGTGTGTGCGCGTGCGTGTGTGTGTGTATCACATCTTCTTCATCCATTCATCCATCAACAGACACTTAGGTTGCCTCTACGTCTTGGCTGTTATAAAGAATGCTGCATCAGTTAATCTACGACAGAGGCAAGACTACACAATGGTGGAAAGACAATCTCTTCAACAAATAGTGTGGGAAAAACTGGAAAGCTACATGTAAAAAAATGAAATTAGATCACTCTTTTACACAAAAATAAGCTCAAAATAGATTAAAGACCTAAATTTGAGACTGAACACTATAAAACTCCTAGATGAAAACATAGGCAGATCACTCTCTGACATAAATCGCAGCAATATCTTTTTCAGTCCATCTCCCAGAATAATGGAAATAAAAATAAAAATAAACAAATGAGACCTAATTAAACTCAAAAGTTTTTGAACAGCAAAGGCAACCATAAACAAAACAAAAAAACACCCCACAGATTGGGAGAAAATATTTGCAAATGATGTGACCGACAGGGATTAGTCTCTAAAATTTACCAACAGCTCATGAGGCTTAATATCATCAAAACAAAAAACCCAATCAAAAAATGCGCAGAAGACCTAAATAGACATTTCTCCAAAGAAGACATACAGATGGGCAAGAGGCACATGAGAAGATGTTTAATATCGCTAATTATTAGAGAAATGAAAGTCAAAACTACAATGAGATATCACCTCACACCAGTCAAAACAGCTATCATGAAAAAATCTCTAAACAATAAATGCTGGAGAGGGTGTGGAGAGAAGGGAACCTTCCTACACTGTTGGTGGGAATGTAAATTAGTAAAGCCACTATGGAGAACAGTGTGGAGTTTCCTTAAAAAACTAAAAATAGAGCTACCATATGACCCTGCAATCCCACTTCTGGGCATGTATCTGGAGAAGAACATGGTCCAAAAGGATGCACGCACCCCAGTGTTCATTACAGCACTGTTTATAATAGCCAAGACATGGAAGCAACCTAAATGTCCATCGACAGAGGAATGGATAAAGAAGATGTGATACATGTATACAATGGAATATAACTCAGCCATTAAAAAGAATGAAATAATGCCATTTGCAGCAACATGGATGGACTTAGAAATTGTCATACTGAGTGAAGTAAGTCAGACAGAGAAAGTGAAATATTGTATGATATCCATTATATATGGAATCTAAAAAAAATGATACAAATGAACTTATCTACAAAACAGAAACAGACTCATAGACTTAGAGAATGAACTTATGATTACCAGGCAGAAGGGTGGGAGGAAGGGATAGTTAGGGAGTTTGGGATGGACATGTACACACTGCTATATTCAAAATGGATAACAAACCAGGGCCTACTGTATAGCACAGGGATCTCTGCTCAATGTCATGTGGCAGCCTGGATGGGAGGGGCGTTTGGGGGAGAATGGATACATGTATATGTATGGCTGAGTCACTTTGCTGTGCACCTGAAGCTGTCACAACGTTGTTCATTGGTTATACTCCAATATAAAATAAAAGTTTAAAAAAAAAGAATGTTGCAATGAACATGGTTGTACAGGAACTTCTTAGCGCTAGTGATTTAATTTCTTTTGGATATGTACCCACAAGCAGGATTGCTGGATCATATGGTAGTTCTGGTTTTAATTTTTTGAGAAACTTCCATACTGTTTTCCATAGTGACTATACTAAGTTACATTCTTATCATCACTGTACAAGATTCCCTGTTTTTCACATCCTAGCTAGCAAGCACTTATCTCTTGTCTTTTTTATGATAGCCATTCTAACAGGTGTGAGGTGGTTGTTCATTGTGGTTCTGATTTGCATGTCCCTGATGCAAATTCTTTCGCATGTGGTTATCCAGTTTTCCCAACACCATTCATTGAATGAGACTATCATTTCTCCATTGAGCATTCTTGACTCCATTGTCAAATATTAGTTGGCCATATATGTGAGGGTTTATTTCTGGACTCTCAGTTCTGCTTCATTGGTCTCTGTGTCTGTTTTTACGACAGACCCTTACTGTTTTGATTACTGTAGTTTTGTAGGATAGTTTAAAATCAGGAGTGTGATACCTCTAGCTTTATTATTCTTGTTTCAGATTACTTTAGCTATTCAGAATCTTTTGTTCCATACAAATTTTATGATTGTTCCATTTCTATAAAAACTCCCATTGGAATTTTGGTAAGTATTGCATTGAATCTACAGATGGCTTTGGGTGGTGGATATTTTAACAATATTAATTCTTCTGATTCATGAACATGGGATATCTTTCCATTTATTTGCATCTTCTTTAGTTTCTTTCATCAATGTTCTATAGATTTCATTGTACAGATCTTTAACCTCCTTGATCAAGCATTCCTTATCTCTAAGTATTGTATTGTTTTTGATGCTCCTGTGAAGAGGATTGTTTTCTTAATTTCATTTTCAGATAGTTTATTGTTAGTGTATAAAATTACAACTGATTTTTATATGTTAATTTTGTATACTGCAGCTTTATTGAATTAGTTTGTTCT